CCACGGCGTTCATCAAACGGAACCATAAGAAATGGCCAAATCTTTAATCCAGCGTCGGTCAGCCAGTTAATGCCTGGAGGGCACAGATATCTCGCGCGAAGTCCAAGTACTTCAGACTGGTTCCACATTGATTGATCTGAGTTGCTGCCCGAAAAAAACTCCAATGAATCGAAACTTTCCACGGAAATCAATAGCTGCCAAACCGTTGTAAGACGTTTTGCCATTCTTGTCGTAGAAGCCATTTGTGCGCTTTAAAAAAATCTACATGTTAGCGTCAGACAAGATATCAAACCAGCCGCATACCATGTGATCGCGCGGGCGTCTCGTTTTAATGATTGTTCCATCAAAGATGCACGCGACATCAGGAAAATTACTTCTACGTTCAACAAAGCCTTCCACCAGTTCCGACCATTCCTCTAGTGCTGTCGGGGCTGGGAAATAGATGACTTCTGGCATCATTTCATAGAGAACATCCTCTAGCCGTTTGATATAGACGCCGGCAACGGTCCTTGATATCCCTAACTGTGCTGCAGCTCCACCAATTCCATCCCCGTCAATACCACAGCTATTCCCGTAGTATGCCAATACTGCTGCAAGCCCGAAATCGAAATGATACTGTGTGTTTTGCCCTGGGAGACCATATTTGCGATAGTATAATGGCCCCAGTAGTCGAACTAGCCCATCAAAGAAATCTGGCAGGCACCGCAACGTCTTCTTGTAGGCGGTAGGAGAACGACGCGCTTTCAGCTTGGGAAAAAAGTCTGTTTGAATGACAACGTGCTCCTGAATAGAGCCTCGAATTGATCTTCCGTCCAATTGGCTCAGGGACACCATCAGCAGGATGCTCATCAGCATGCACAGCGCCAACATTTCTTCCTCTATCAAATTATCGTCGTAATCGTTTGCTTCTGCAGCACACCGCTTCCGTTAATGCCGCTCTTGCACCGCTAGCATGCAGACCCATACATACCTTCATCGACGTCCATCGGCTGCGCGTCATCTGCGCCGCCTATCGCCAGCAGCGCGCCATCTCCCAAGCGTGCTAACTCCTCCATCACTCCGCACTCGATCTTCAACTTAAAAAAATCAGTCTCTGCTATCAAAAAGAGGCGCCGAACCTATTTGTTTTCGCCGCTTTATAATGAGGTGCTTTGGCCACCTCGTTTTTCCTAACGCTACTTCACAAGAAAAAATAGGCGGGAAAAATGATTAATTTTCTATTTGGACAGCGCTCTTACAAAGGTCGCTGCCTTCTCGCTTCGATTGCCACGTTGGTCCAGGACACTCTCTCTTCCATTCGAGCGCATTCGCTTTGGTCCCGAAGAAAGACAAACCCCTCCACCTTGATGGCCGGATCATTCATGATCTGTCCGCTCCAAGCGGCCATTCGGCCAAAGATTACACGGACTCCACGTTATCTCCAGATGCCACCTGGGATCCCATTCTGTCGATTGCGGTCCGGATCCGAGACCTTCGTCGCCGGTTCCCGGGGTGTACTATTTACGCCATGGTCGCGGATATCGCGGACGACTTTCATCACGTCCCAGTTCACCCTCGCCATGCGTCCGCGTTTGGGGGCAAATTACCGCTCTCCAACCATGGCATTGTCTCCGGCATGGCCGTCTTTGGCTGGACTGCGTCACCAGGGTTCTTCGCCGTTTTCGGGAAGGCGGTTCGACATTATCAACGCACAGGGTCATCCATCGTGCTGGGTTATAGAACCTTTCTGGATCTTCCAGTGGGTTGACGATATTGTTCTCGTTGAGGTAGACATTGGGGACCGCCTTCAGAAGGCCGAGAAGCGTCTCAGAGACGGTGTGAAACTCGTGTTTGGATCTGATGGCTGGCATGAGGGCAAGTTCACAACGTGGTCACGTGTCTTTCATGCCGTAGGCACTGACTGGAACATTCCCGGTGAATCAATCCCGGTGCCTCAAAGGAAGATCGAGAAAATGCACAGGGTGGTCTCGAAGACGAAGGCGAAGAAATTCTTGTCACGGAAACAACTAGATAGTGGTGAGGGTGCTGAGGCATATTATCAGCTTCATCTCGGTCACAAAGCCGTTTATACAAAGGTTGGTGGCTGTTCAGACAAGCTGTCGCAGCAGTCACAAATCGGGCGTGGCGATGTCAGACTTCCTTCAGAAGGATCTGGAGTGGTGGGAAGACCTGGTCCTCCAAAACAACTTGAGTAGCATTCCCATG